TTAGTTATCAAGTTTATTTGTTACTGCGGTTATTGTAAAAAAAAAAAAAAAAAAATATATATATATATATATATATATATATATATATATATATATATATATATATATATATATATATATATATATATATATATATATATATATATATATGTAATATTCAGAAATTTCAAATGCCCCGCCATTAGCGATACTGAGCGTTCAAGGTCGTCTGAGGGAAGAGAGCGCTCCCCGCACATAGTGGAAGGTTGTGGAACTAGGCCTATATGATATTAAATGTAATTTGTCGAATTAATAATGATGCGATTCATGAAGTTAAGGGACTATTATTGAATTTGAAATTATTATAGATCGTTTATCAGTCTGAATAATGTTACGGGTGTCCCAAGGAGTTATTAGTTAGGCGGAAAATATGTCACGTAGGCCTAAGCTAGCGCCTTGGAGAGACACGACGCTGGCTCTCCCTCAGTCACGGGGAAGCATTCAGACAAACAAGACGTCCCTGCGCGTCCGTCACAGAAATAGTCACGTGGCCTAGTCACCTGTGTTGCACTATTGAAGCATAACAAGTAAGTCTCATTCGATCTCAGACAGGGTTAGATAGGGCAGTGGTAAAGTTAACAAGAGCTAACAGTGAGTTCATTTCAGGGTTTCCGTCAGAACCCACTTGACCGGAGTTTGACTGCGAGAGTGATGACTGCGAGAGATTGACTGCCGTTGATGATGATGAGGGTGGCGATTGTCGCCATTGGACCGATCAGTGTAGGCCTGTCACTGTTTAGCGGGGTATCAAAGGATCTCTTGAGGGAATCTAGCCGTCTGGGTGCCCAGCTGACGACGGGACGATCGTTGGGGTCATCAGCTCTCCTCTACCTCGGCTCACAACACCACATGTCTCGAGCAGCTTAGTGAAACCCTCTTGCTAACGGGAAGCTAAAGCTTCTCTCAACTGTACAAGGTCTGATTTGCTCACTCCCTTCCGTTTCATGGATGTACTGGGGGTAAAGTGAGGCCAGCTGAGTGATACAGGGTCGCACACTGAGACCATGAGTCTAGGTGATACCTAGAGGAACATTTTATCTCCCTTATTACGGGTGCATGTTGAGTTGGGTGGAGCATGGTTCACGGGTATTGGCGGACCCAGTAACAAACCAATAATAGTGACAATATATTTGGGTGTAGCTGATACCATTTCTCAGTTACTGATATTATCTTGACGTGTGTAGTTTAATATTTCTTAATATAATTTTGATAGTATTGTTTTTTGAATGTTTGTGTCATTAAGTGGAACCAGAGTGATACTGTGATTTGATTCTTTTAATGCATCTAATTTTTCTTCATAATTCCGATCTCAGGTATAACCTTTGTTCCACATAGTAGTGGTTAAGTTAGGTTAGGAAGTGTGCATCTGTTGGGGTGATATAATTTTGTTGAGTGCCCTTAAGGCCTATTCATTGTAGAGTTATTAATTTCTTATTTTTGAATACCATTTTCTCAGGCTGGATATTATTTTGTTGAAAGCCCTTAAGGCCTGTTTCATGTGTGCAAGCAACATTTCTTAATACTTCAAATTTATTGTTGCCTGAGTTTCTAATAATTTCTATATCATGTATAACTTTTATTCCCCAGAGTAGTGTTTTAAGTTCAAGTTAAGAGGTGCGCATATTGGTGTACCATTATTTGATTGTGTTTGTAGTGTTGGAGGGAATATAAGTGTCTAAATTTTACAGTGTGTCTCATTCATCCCAGTCACAGACGCTATCCTTCCACGGGTCACGGACAATTCATTTTGTTTAGTAGATTTGAGTGTTCTTGTGCTGGTTCGGGATTTTTCTCAAAGGGGCGCTTCCACTGCCATTACCATCTATTAATCTTTAATAAACCCCAAGTCAAGTGAGAAAATAAAGTCCAGTATATTCCGACCGGTTACATATATATATAAAATAATCCCTAAGTAAAATGTAAGTTTTGGACTTTTTTTCTTCGGACGAAAAATATTTTGACTAAATTCAGTCAATTTTCCAAACCAAAGTGTTTCCCCAGTGATTTTTACCCCCCCCCCCCACAGCTTTGTATATCTTTATTATCTACATAGTAACGTTATATTCCTATTCGGCAACCCATCCCAAGGGGCTGAAATGGTATCTAAGGTGTATGAATCAGCGGGGTTACTCGTGACGTTATTGGTTTTACATGTGGCATCACACTTCATCCTATTTCATTAGATTATGTAGAAAATGGGTGGTATACTGCAGATATTATGGTGATTATCAGGTGCAAGATGAAACAACGAAAGGTGCAACTCATAATCAGAAATACCAACTGGAACGAGACTGTTGTTCACGTGTTATTGTGTTCATTTCCAAATACATCAGGCCCAGGGGGGCCGATACCTTTTGGAGGAGAGTATATAGTACCTTTTAATTTTTTTTTTTAATTTAAAAATTGTATAATCTTACCGTAACTCCAGGTGAACTGTTCCTGTCTAGGGTTAAGTAACAAGTAAAAATTAACAACAAATGCGTTAGAATAAAACACGATATATGAAACTCGTACTAAGATTTATTGATTTAAAATGTACAACCCATCCTACAACCCTGATCCTCCCTCTCCCTCTCGCTTCCTTTTGATATCTGTTTTGCTTCTCCCTTTCCTCACCACCGATATTTTCTCTTTTCAGTTTTGTTTATTATTTACGGGCCTCACAAATATTTTTTTCCCGTCATTGAGGACGGCATAACCAATGCCTAGTGCGTGCTCCTTCTCGGCGTCGGTGGCAAACGAGAAAAATCCAAACTGTGAGTTTGGTTGCCTTTGGCAGTTGATTACTTGGCCGAATTGAGAAAGTGCTGCGGTCACTTCTTCATTAGTCGTGGCTGGATCCAACCCCCCCACAAACACTTTAATGTTACACGCCATCACAACGTTTACTTGTTGGTGGCCAATAAAGTGTGGACCACCAAGTACTGCGGCCTAAGCCTCTGCTACATTTTGGAATATGATGAATCCATATGATTCCCCTTCTTTTAACCATATTTTTTGTATTTTACCATATTTTTCAAAAGTATTTTGGATGGTTTCCCGAGTACAGTTTTCGGGTAAGTTTTGTATATTAACTTTGGCAGCCGTTGACAATCTTTCGTCCCGGCTGTGCGCGTTTGATTGTTTTTGGCGTTTGGTGGGAGTTTCGTTTATACCGTAAAGGGCGAGCGACTCTTCCTCGTCACCATCCTCGTATAATTTTCGATTGACTACATGCACGACCTCAGTATCCTCAACCTGTTTAAGGTATTGTTTAGGATTTTCTCTGTAGTCGTCGTTTTCTGGACTTAATTTTCTCTTCAAAGTTGGGGGTGCCTGTTCTTGCGATCCATATCTGATATTTTGATTTTTTGGAACTTTTATAGCCATGCGCCGCCCATTTATATTGATTGCTTAAGCATGGACGGCACGTCGAGCTTCTTCTTCACTACTAAAAGTGACGAAGGCGTAAGGAGCAGGCTGACCTCTGGAGAGCGGTCTCTGCCACTTAAGGATGTGGCCGTACTCCTCGAGCCTTTCCTGGACTTCGTCATCTTCATTAGGCCGGCTAGTTAGACCACCTATGAAGATCTGACAGCCCGCCCCTTGCGGCAAATCCACATCGATGACGCTGCCGTCGATCACGTGTGGAGAGCAACTAAGGGCTCGGCTTAATCCTTCAGTATTGTCATAAATGACAAAACCAAAATTTTTTCCATTCTTTATCCAAATTTTAGACAGCACCCCGAATTTACCAAAGTAATTTTTTATTTTATCTATCGAAATATTTTGTGGAAGGTGTTTGATGAACATTTTATTATCATTCTTTTCTGCTGATGTTGGGCTGGACAGTGCTGGGTTGGTCACATCTAGTTGGGACAGTGTTGGGTTGGTCACATCCGGTTGGGACAGTGTTGGGTTGGTCACATCCGGTTGGGACAGAGTTGGGTTGGTCACATCCGGTTGGGACAGTGTTGGGGACGACTATATATTATTTGAAGTCTCTCTTTTGTTTAATGTCTTATTTTTGGGTCGGATGATAGGGACGGTTCTATCCAGTTCCACAGTTAGGGGACGGTCATTGACGATCACCTGCCCAACTGCCACCACGCTCAACGCCATTTCTGGCGTTTTAAACGTAACGGTACAATAGTTTTCCAGTTTTCCATCTGTTTTTATTGGCCTGTTATATTCTAGAATGGTGCCATAGGCACCCAACACCTCGAGCACGTGGTGTGGTCCAGTGACCGACAGTTTTTTCGATAAATTTTTGACAACAATTTTCGCCTCCATAGCAGAATGATACTCGTAACATTTTCTCAGCTTCCAAGAGGCAATTTTCTAAATTCTGCGTGCGAGAAAATATAGTAAGAGCCTGTCGGGATATATAGTGTATAATGTTTACTGTGTATAAAGTTTACTGTGTACTGTATAGTAAAGTTGTTTACTGTGTATAGTGAAGATTGTTTACTGTGTGTAGTGAAGACAGTTTACTGTGTATAGTGAAGTTGTATACTGTGTGTAGTGAAGACAGTTTACTTTGTGTAGTAAAGATAGTTTACTGTGTATAGTGAAGACAGTTTACTGTGTGTAGTAAAGATAGTTTACTGTGTATAGTGAAGATTGTTTACTGTGTGTAGTGAAGACAGTTTACTGTGTGTAGTAAAGATAGTTTACTGTGTATAGTGAAGACAGTTTACTGTGTATAGTGAAGATTGTTTACTGTGTGTAGTGAAGACAGTTTACTGTGTGTAGTAAAGATAGTTTACTGTGTATAGTGAAGATAGTTTACTGTGTGTAGTAAAGATAGTTTACTGTGTATAGTGAAGACAGTTTACTGTGTATAGTGAAGATTGTTTACTGTGTGTAGTGAAGACAGTTTACTGTATAGTGAAGTTAGTTTACTGTATAGTGAAGGTAGTTTACTGTGTAGTAGTGAAGATAGTTTACGGTGTGTAGTGAAAATGGTTGACTGCATATAGTGAAGCTAGTTTACTGTGTATAGTGAAGACTGTTTAAAGTATAGTGAAGACAGTTTACTGTGTATAGTGAAGATATTTTACTGGGTGTAGTGAAGATAGTTTACTGGGTATAGTGAAGATAGTTTACAGTGTATAGTGAAGAGAGTTTACTGTATTGTGAAGACAATTTACTGTGTGTAATGAAGATCGTTGACTGTATATAGTGAAGCTAGCTTACTGTATAGTGAAGTTGTTTAAAGTGTATAGTGAAGACAGTTTACTGTGTTTATTGAAGGTATTTTACTGGGTGTGGTGAAACGAATTTACTGTGTATAGTCAAGCAAGTTTACTGTATAGTGAAGTTGTTTAAAGAGTATAGTGAAGACAGTTTACTGTGTTTAGTGAAGGTAATTTACTGGTGTAGTGAAACGAATTTACTGTGTATAGTCAAGCAAGTTTACTGTATAGTTAAGACAGTTTACTGCATAGTGAAGACAGTTTGCTGTATAGTGAAGACAGTTTACTGTTTATAGTGAAGAGAGTTTACTGTATGTAGTGAAGACAGTTTACTCTGTATAGTGAAGACAGTTTACTGTACAGTGAAGACAGTTTACAGTGTGTAATGAAGTTAGTTGACTGTATATAGTGGAGCTAATTTACTGTGTATAGTGATGACTGTTTACTGTTTAGTGAAGACAGTTTACTGTGTATAGTGAAGACAGTTTACTGTGTAGTGAAGACAGTTTACTGTATAGTGAAGACGGTTTACAGTGTGTGATGAATATAGTTGACTGTATATAGTGAAGACGGTTTACAGTGTGTGATGAATATAGTTGACTGTATATAGTGAAGCTAATTTATGTGTATAGTGATGACTGTTTACTGTTTAGTGAAGACAGTTTACTGTGTATGTGAGAGTTTGTGAAGGAAGTTGTAAGTTTGTGTGTAATGAAGTTAGTTGACTGTATATAGTGGAGCTAATTTACTGTGTGATGACTGTTTACTGTTTGTAAACAGTTTACTGTGTATAGTGAAGACAGTTTACTGTAGTGAGGACAGTTTACTGTATAGTGAAGACGGTTTACAGTGTGTGATGAATATAGTTGACTGTATATAGTGAAGCTAATTTACTGTGTATAGTGATGACTGTTTACTGTTTAGTGAAGACAGTTTACTGTGTATAGTGAAGACAGTTTACTGTGTAGTGAAGACAGTTTACTGTATAGTGAAGACGGTTTACAGTGTGTGATGAATATAGTTGACTGTATATAGTGAAGCTAATTTACTGTGTATAGTGATGACTGTTTACTGTTTAGTGAAGGTAGTTTACTGTGTGTAGTGAAGACAGTTTGCTGTGTATAGTGAAGACAGTTTACTTTATAGTGAGGACAGTTTACTGTATAGTGAGGACAGTTTACTGTATAGTGAGGACGGTTTACTGTATAGTGAAGACAGTTTACTGTGTAGTGATAACAGTTTATTGTTTATAGTAAAGACAGTTATCTCTGTGTAGTGATAATAGTTTATTGTTTATAGTTAAGACAGTTTACTGTGTATAATGTAAGTCTCTTCAGCCAGACCAAATAAATCCCATCAAAGTATTACCATTTCCTCGTCGGTCCTCGTTATAGATCTATGTCGACAACACGATCCTCACTATATCTGCCGTGAGGTGAAGCTTAGTATTTACCTAAGACAACGATCATTAACGCCATCCTCACATACTCGCTTAGTAGAATAGCAGTATCTTGTCTTACGTTAGCTTTTGCTTATGGTGAACGTAAACTTTGGATTATGAGTTAATGTTCAAGGCCTATATGGTTGAGGACTTTAACCACCATTGCAAGCTCCCGTAGTGTATCACGTCTGCTTTACACGCAGAAGGTACCTGGCGAGAGCACATGGCTTTACTTTAGTGTTCTCTTTAAACATCACCAGGACAAGAAAATAAATTTACTTGCTCTCGCCGGGGCTCGAACCTGGGACCTTCTGCGTGTAAAGCAGACGTGATAACTGTAGGTTATGCATCTAAGCTACTGTGCCGAGTAGCAACCTTGTAAATAAGCTACTGTGCCGAGTAGCATTTATATATATAATTACGTGGCAACACTGCACGCGTTATGTGGCAACATTGCCCGGAGGCTGCCATATGGCAAGGCAGTCTCAGTCTGACTGTGTGAGCCGTGCATGGCACACGCTAGTCACCACTTGTATTTCTCTCATCCATAATAAACGGACTTCAGTGTTACCCGGTGTTTCCCTACCCATCACTGCATTCTTCAGGGAACACTTGTAACCATCAATAACCAGTACACTACGGGAGCTATCTATTGTAATTTGTGGTCAGTGAGGTTAAAAAAAGAACAGTAATATTTCTTTATGGACATTCAATTGTGTTAAAAATGTTTTACTGGTGAATATTTTAATGTGAAGTGTGATAACGAACCGTCTCACCTGTAGCTATCAGTTCAGAGTTACAGCTTAAATATACCACAAACCTGGAGCTTTGATTGACAACAAGCTTAAAAACTCATCAAAATTCCCTCAACATCCTCCATGTGCTAACTCAGGTGTTCAAGATGGCGTCAAAGATGGCCGCCATTCTGTAGAGTATCATATATATGCACCTAGACATGATAGAAATATGAACAAAATGTATTCTCATAGGTTTTCAGACAATAACAATCCTGTAAAACCATTATAGGATAATACAAAAAACAAGATGACTACCATTTTGTTTTCATATACTCGTATTCGCAAGCAGACATGATACTTGATAAATTATCGAGGGCAAACTTGGGATTGTTTTTATATTACGTTGGTGTGCAAGAAGCCCATAACGGCAATACCTGGAATATTTTATTCCCATTTCAGATAATGAATGATCTTTGTATAATTTGCAATGGGAAGCTTAGTTCGACTGATGCTGCAACAATGAAGATAAGGGATATTGATATTGAAACAGTAAATTTAGCCGGAAGAGCAAAGATACAGAGTCGATTAAAATAATATTCATAATATTAACATGGCTGAGCCAATTGAGAGCCTGAGCTCTCTTGTAGGCACCGGATATATACTGTACATTTATCTCAAAGAAGTATTATGTAACATTTAATATCATCTGGAATAGTACACATAGCATGGTGGTAGTAAGAACATATCAGAATGTCGATATTTATTTATTTTACTTTATTTCTTTATTTATTTTTATTTTTTTACATTTATAGTATAAGTATATACTGTGCATATGTTACAGTGGAAATTGAAAACATAAATATGATAAGGGAGGGAAGCAGTACAACAGGGGTTGTATAAAAGTGGAACAAGAGCTGTCAGGATTATGCAAATGTTAACTTTTTATCTATCTACATTATAATTTCTGATAAAATGGTTTTGGTGGTACAATAAAAGCAGGATTATAAAGTAGGT